TAACATTCGTGCACTGGGGGAGAGAGGGTTCCTCAGCCCAACCTGTGCCCTTCAGCAGTCTGGGAACCCTAGGGGGATGTCTGACTGACAACTTAGGCAGCTCGAGAAGCAGGCCTAAGCTCCAAGCCTAAGCCATCAGTCAGACATCCTTGGCGCTGCTGTCACTGCCACTGTGCTTGCCAATTGTGAGCCGACTTCTGGCACACTGACTACCAGAGGGCAGCTCCTGCATCCAGCGTCTGCCCCTGGTGGTCAATGCATGTGACAGCAACCAGTCATTCTTCCATTCATCAATTTGCATATTAGCCTTTTATTATATAGGACTAAAGGCCCGGTGCATGAAATTTGTGCATGGGGGAATGGGGGTGTCCCTCAGCTCAGCCTGCACCCTCTCCAATCTGGGACTCCTTGAGGGATGTCCAACCAATAGGTGATTGGACATCTCTCTCACAATCCAAGACTGCTGACTCCCAACTGCCCTACCCTGCAGGCCTTGACCTTCCCCCCCCAACTGCCCTTTCCTGCTGGCCTGGTCACCCCTAATTGCTCTCCCTGCTTGCCTGATGGCCCACAAATGTCCTCCCCTTCAGGCCTGGTGCCCCCAACTGCCCTCTCTGCTGGCCTGGTCACACATAACTTCCCACAACTGCCCTCCCCTGCAGGCCATCTTGTGGTGGCCATCATGTGTCCACATGGGGGCAGCCATCTTATGTCTTGGTGTGATAGTCAATTTGCATATTACCTTTTTATTAGATAGGATGCCCTTTTCTACCTTTCCTTGTCAACCTTTCAACCTTCAAAGTTCCCAAAACCTTTCTGCTTTATATTCTTGACAAGAAGCCCAGTACACAAATTCATGCACAGATGGGGTCTGACCGACCCTCCCTGAGCCAATAGGGCTGGGCAAGCGGTGAGGGAGTGGCCATGGGCAGTTGGTTGGCTGGCCCCACCCCTGATTTGGGTGAGGGGCTGATCAGGGGAGGGGCTGACTAGGGGGAGGGACCATGGGCAATTAGCTAGCCAGTCCTACCCACTGGTTGAACTTCCAGTTGAACTCCTCTTCAAGGGGGAAATTTGCATATTAGCCTTTTAATATATAGAATTATCGTCCTTTCAATGACTTTAGCTTCTCTTTAGCACTGTACATAGGAACTTCTCTTATTTGATACAGTCAGTTAATACAATAGCTACACCCTACAGATATTCTGGTTACTTATATGGGTATGCCATATTAGGTTCCCAACAGATTTCTAACAACAATAATACACAGTCATGCTATAAATCATCTTTATTATTATACTAGAGGCCCAGTGCATGAAAATTCATGCACTGGAGGGGGTGGCCCCTCAGCCTGGCCTACCCTCTCACAATCTGGAAGCCCTCAGGAGCAGGAGGTGACCGGCAATCAATGGAAGGTGACTCTCATGCCCTTGCACATGATGGATGCCCCCACGTGATCAACCACAAGATGACCGGCAGGGAAGGGTAGTTGTGGTGATTGGACTGGCAGGGGAGGATAGTTGGGGATGACTGGGCCTGCAGGGGAAGGCAGTTGGGGGTTACCTGGCCAGCAGGGGAGGGCAATTGGGCTGGCAGGGGAGCAATTAGGCATCAATCAGACTGGCAGAGGAGTGGTTAGGGGATGATCAGGCTGGCAGGCAAGCGAGCAGTTGGGAGCCAGCAGTCCTGGATTGTGAGAAGGTTGTCCGACTGCTAGTTTAGGCCCCATTCCAAGGAATTGGAGAGGGTGGAGGCTGGGCTGAGGGACATCCCCATCTCCCAGTGCACGAATTTCATGCACTGGGCCTTTAGTATTCTATTTTTTAATCATCTAACTATATCTCTGCTGGATGTAGTATAATTTCCTCTTGGTGACTCAAAGCATTTTAGGATCCTGGTGTGTCTTAGTTATATTTGTGTTTACAACAAGCCAAACAACTGTGCCAAAGTACTGGTGAGTACAGCATTATGTTTAATGGCTTCCTGGTAAGCACAACTAGATCTTTTCTCTAAAACTATTTGGCATGCAGATAGCTCTTAGTAACCTTGGGCATTTCCTATCTATATACTTACCAAGATTAGCTCTACTTAGTTTCCCAGATGAAACAAGGTTAGATATGCTCTATTTAGTATGTTTTTAAATATTTGGTTGCAACTATATTCAAGTTTTTTTGTGTGTGTTTTTTTTTCATAATAGTGCCCCCCTTATGTTTTCATTGAAGATTCTCTCCAGATTCAAATATTTTATTTTCCATGGTAATTTCTTCCTTTGGATGTTTATTTTAAGGCTATGTACAATGAGTCCTCCCAAAAGTTGGCTCATCAACTGTGCTTACTGGCTTCCACCTTACATAGCAAAAGTAATCAATATATTATTAAGCAAATAAGCAAAGTGTTCTTGGAACTAATATAGATTTATGGTTTTCCTGGCTTGTTCTGAGGAGCTCTAAAATTCTACAGATGTACTCTGCTGACCACCATGATATGAAGAGAAAGCTAAACTCACTTGCATCTCATACTCCTGAACCTGAGCAATCCTTTCCTTACCTGTTTCATATATTGGGATTACACATAAAATCATTTGTTAAGATGGAGTCTATGCATTAAAATAGTTTGACAATAAGTAATGTTGCCCCAACTACTTATTGATTGTGAATATTTCATTTGGTTTATCTAGTTGCTTGTTGACAAAGCTACTATTGAGTAGCAGTAATGCAGATCAGCCCTTTCTTTGGTGTAGAAATATTTTTAAATACCAAGGGTGCAAAGCTGAATAAAGTCCAATCTCACTGTCCAAAGTAGCATTATACGCAACACTTAATGGCTTCCATCCTACAATTCTAAAATCTAAGCAACGATATGTGTTGCTACTTTGAGATTTGGATTAGAAATTATTGGAGAAGCACGTTCGCATGCATTTGACTCCTTTCCACATTGGAGTAATTACCCCAGCATTGTAGCTGGAGTCAAGGGATTTTGAACATAGTAATGAATTGCAGCAAACTTTCCAAGAAATACAGAACCATATGTCTCAGGGACTTGGTTGGAAGCTGAACCTGCAGATAAGGATATGGGAAGGGATTGCTAGTACTTCTAAAGCCAACTGGGGAAGGTTACGAATTGAAATTTGTTGCTAATGTGGATGAAGCTGGAACGCATTTTTCCCATGCTGTTTAGGGTGGAATTTGTCATAGTAGTAAGTAGCAAATTGGATGCTAAACTTTATAATTTACTTTCTAATGATTAAAGAACAAAATGTCCAGGTTCTTAGAATTTTCATACTAGAAGTTCAAATTTATGTATAGTTTATATTATCTGAATGGCTATAATGAGGAACTCTTTGAATCTTAGGCAAGATCAGAAAAAGGTCAAAATATGAGACTGAATGTAATGAGAATTAAACACACACAGTTCAGTATTCTCCCCTTATCCTTGGTTTTGTTTTCATCTGTTCAGTAACTTATGGTCAATGGTTGTCTGAAAATATTAAATGGAAAATTCCAGAAATAATTTATAAGTTTTAAATTGCAAGCTGTACTGAATAGCCTAATGAAATCTGTGCCATCCCATTCAGGGTGTGAATCGTCCCTTTGTTTAGTGTCTCCACGCTGTGTACATTCCCTACCGATTAGTCACTTAGTAGTCCTTTAGGTTATCAGATCAACTGTCATGGTATCGCTTGTGTTCAAGTAACCCTTATTTTACTTCATAATGTTTTATCTATCTTACTTCATCTCACCAAATTGGCATTTTATCATCTCACATTATCCCAAGAAGACTAAAAGTGAGTACCATTAAAAAAGGTATTTGAGAGGTAGAAGGCCACATTGACATCATTTTATTACAGTATATTGTTTAATTGCTCTATTTTATTGTTATTGTTGTTAATCTGTTATTGTGCCTACTTTATTTATTTTAAATTTTTAGTCATTGAGTTTAGAGAGTGGGGGGAGGAAGAGAGATAGAGAAAGAGGGAGAGAGAGAGAGAAACATCAATTTGTTGTTTTACTTGTCCTGACTGGGGATTGAACCCAAACCTTGGCACATCGGGGTGATGCTCTAACCAACTGAGCTACCCAGCCAGGGTTTTCTTATTGTGCCTAATTTGTAAATTAAACTTTATCATGAGTATGGACACATAAGAAAAAAATAGTATGTATAAGGTTTGTTACTATCCTTGGTTTCAGGCATCCTCTGGGGGTCTTGGAACATAAGCCCCATGGATAAGAGGAGACTACAGTAGATGAAAGTAGCCAGCTGTAGAAGTTCCACATTCATGAGATCTTTTCTTTTTCCTGAGGAGATAAAAAAAATCCAGGCAAGAAACCAAAAGTAGATTTTCTAAAAAGCGGTAAGTTAATTATATCCATTTATTATCTGTAGAAAGGCTGGGATGTGTTCATGGAAGCAGTGATTCAAACTGAGACTAGAAAAAAAAAAGGAACCAAAAGTAAAGTTTCATAGCAAGTTATTCAACAAAAAAGGGATAGTGTATTTAAGTCACCTGGGGTGTACACTCATTGAATAAGGATGGCTAATCAAGTTTTTCTTGTAGCCTTTAGACAACTTTTAGAATCTCAAGAAAGAATAGGGAAAGTAGACATTTATAATCAGTTAGATTTAAGAAACATAGATTATTTTAGATATGCTGGGTAGGCTTGATCCAGTCAGTGGAAAAGCTTTAAGAGCAGAACTGAGGTTTCTGGAGGAAGTAAAGCATTCCACCTGTGGATTGCAGCATCAGCCTGTATCTGAGACTGCCAACCTGCCTGTCCTGACAGCCTACCCTATGGATTTCAGACTTGCCTATTCAGCTCCCACATCACATAAACCCTTTCCTTGCAAAAATCCCTTAGTGTCTATCTCCCATGGGTCCTGTTTTGTCTGGTTCAACCCTGACATACTCTCATAAAACCTTTCTCAAGCAACTACCAGAAAATATGCTTCAGCAAAAACAAAAAAAGAGGAAGATAGGATCAAGCAAACTGCATAGCAGCTGTGGGCCATGTTGGATAGGTAGCCTAACATCCGTAAGGGAAACAGAAACATCCAGAAGGTAAAAATTACTCATATGTATCAGCTTGGAAGCTTGAAAAAAAGATAAAAGCCAGACAGATTTCAAAACAGTGTTATCAATTGGAGTTCTTAGTGACCAAGACAAAAACATACAAGTTGCCTAACCATTCATTTGCACAAACACTTAAGTTTGTAACAGTTCACTGTGAGCACAGGAAGTAGGGACACCAAGAACACTTTCCAGTGCCCTAGATGTGCCATAATTATACCTTTTTCCTGAGATTATCATCAACTTTATATTCTGTGTTTGGAAAAAGAATCTAATCTCCATTACAAAGGACATACTTAAAATAAAAATTCTGAGCAATGAATTCTTTGCTATGATTTGGTATATTAGAGAAAATGAAGATTTATTTCTGACTAAGGTTGAAGAAATGATCTGGGCCAGATGCCAGAAATGATTTCTAGGAGGCCAACTCGTGTTGATAGAAGAATGCTTTTAGAAGATGGGAAGAAACTCAGCAGCACTAAAGTTCTGATGTGGGAAATAACACTCCAATTCTAGAGGAACAACTTTGATATCTCTCAGCTGTCAGAACCTAAAAATCAAATCATATTATTTAGATATCAGCATCATGGGTTTTGCTTAACTGAGTCAAAGACTAAATATAAACCAACTTTAGGAACTAATTGGGTTTTTAGGAGAAGGAATGCCTTGTGAAGTTCTGGGGGGGTCCAGAAATCATCATGAAATGGAATTCTGAGAAGTGATTTCTATCAGCCTCGGGTAGATACAGGAAGTGTCATTCATGCATATCAAAGATCCTGAAGTGGCTGGACTGGTTATAAATAGTAACTATGGTTCTCTAGAGTGGATTGAGAAGTCACTTCAAGGGTTTTCAAGTAGCTTCAAGACTACCTTCTTCCGCATGAGAATCTGAGGACAGGGAAAGTTGGAGATACAGTGCCTTCATCTTTAGTGAGTGTATCTTAAGATAATGGAGCACATGCATTCATATGTGCATGTTAGAAAAAATGTCATAGTATCATAAACTGGGTAGACTAAAACATGAGACTTCCTGGTACCTTAGCAACACGTATAACCAAGAAATGATGAGAAACTGATAGTGTGAAGAGCAGGGCATGAGGAAATCAACCAGTCTCGAGCAGCTAGCTTCTGGGGGAGTAGCCAGAAAGTCAAACACCCAAAAGCCAAAGGACATGGCGGCCTCAAGGTTGAGTAACTGAGGGTCCCCATCAGTCAGGCGGAGAACAACAACCGGAAACCATATCTGATGTTGATTATCACTCCCTCACAGCAAACCCCTTGCCAGGAGCCAGGGTCTACAGAAAAGAGACTTGGGCTAGTCAAATTGGGAGTTGGAGTCAGCCAAGTGAGCTCCAGCCCAGAGAGAATATCAAGTCCAACAAAGAAAGCAGAGTAAATTCATGATTGTATTAATACAGTGGGTAATGAGAAGGGGGGGGAAACCTGCACAAAATGTTCTTATGCTCCAATCCAAGAGTTTTCCACATTCATGCCAATTACAAAGCAGGAAGAATAGTTCTAGGCTCTATTGATATGTGGTGTGAACAAAACTGCTCTGATCTCCTGACCTGACCAGGCTCTGCTAGATTAATTGCGGTCAGCTGGGTCTGGTATTGTCTCCAGTTGGGAGAAACTGAGAACAACAAAAATAGGGAAAATGAGATCATTAGGGACAACAGGTACACCTCTGTAGCTAATGAAAAGAAATGACACTTGAGTCTTATTTCAAAGCTGTTCTATATGCTGAGAATCCAAGGAACCCTTGTCAGTGATAAAACCGTTTTTAATGAACAGGGTTATAGGAGTTCTATGCTATATATTTCTAAAAACTGTGCTCCTGAGCTGGCCAATGAAAGAAACGTCTGCACTGTATTCGGGCAGATACTTGTTCAGAGCGGTAACAGGAATTATGTTTTGATCTCAGTAATAGTTTATGAAGCTGACTGGAGAGTCATGGAAAGAATGATCAAAGCAAGGACAAAAATAATGTATACTTTCTTTTCCTCACAGAGCATGAAAAATCTTTTCTACCCACCTTTCATTATCCTTTGAAATAACTTGTAGGAGAATAAAAGCAGATGTCTGGAGAAGTCATCAAGAAAAACCACAAATCAAAGAGATTTCAAACAGAAATGTTTTTAATGAACTGGCTGAAGGTTTTGTGTGTTTTCCCCCCGTTCCATCCCAATTGATCTGAATGTTAGTGGGAGGGTGTTCTATCAATCAGTACTTTTCCAAATCTAAGTGTGCTGTCCTTCTACTAGTACTTTTTTTCAGAAGAGAAGACTTTTTTCTGCAATCCAGGCCTACTGCTTTCCTTTTAGTCAACAGTGCAGCAACCTGGATTTGGAAAACTTGGAGTAAATCCTTGGCCATCCTTCTGTTACATTTGTAAGGAAAAGATACGGTGTCGTGCCTTTAAAGAGCTGTCTTAACTCACAAAACATTAACTCCTTGGCTCTTCTTTCCTTTCCTTTCCTTCCTTCCTTCTTTTCTTCCTTCATTCCTTCCTTTCTTCTTTCTTTCTATTTTCTGGAGTCATGGTATTTAACAATGGAAGTAAAAAGATCTTTTGGTGGCTTTGATACTTTTTTTTTAAATTTCTTTTTAGAAGGATAGGTTTTTGTTTTGTTTTGTTTTGTTTTTAAATCTAGCTAGCAGTTTCAGATAAATAGACATATTATTTCAGGACAAATAGGTCTCTACCCAAAAAAGACAAGTCATTTCTACAACTTTCAATTCTTAATATGAGTGACCCTGATTCTAAATCAGCCAATGATTTTAGTGTTAGAAGGGACCTGAAGCCTGGCCAGCCTGGCTCAGTGGTTGGACATCATGGTTCCATTCCCAGTCAGGGCACATTCTCAATGATTTTCTCTCATCATTGATGTTTCTCTCTCTCTCTCTCTCTCTCTCTCTCTCTCTCTCTCTCTCTCTCTCTCTCAAATCAATAAAAATATACTTTTAAAAAAAGAAGGAACCTGAAGATATCATCTTGCCCTATCTTCTGTGTTCTAACCAATAAAATGTAGTGATGTTCTTGTCTTAATTTTATGGAGTGAAGTTCAATGTTATGCTGAGGTCTCACTGATATTCAAAGGGCATGAGGTTCAGGACAACTGCTTCTCACGGAGAGCCTTGATCCAGCACCATACCATGCTGTTTCTCTTTTGGAACAGTGGCTGATTTAAGCCATATTATTATAAACTAGGTCATGGACGTTAATTTAGTAATTCAGTTCTGTGATATTTGCAAGCTAGATGACGATGATTAAAGAGTATCTTCACAATAATAGCTTCATATTTAAAACAAACAATGGTTTCATAGAATATTGTGGCAATAAAACACATCTTTTTCTTTTAAGAAAACAGTAAATAATGTTAAGAAGCATTCTTGGTAATTATTAGATTCTCATACCAATGCATATAATTATAGAATTCCTTTGTGTCATAGTGAATCTATCCTAATCTGAGTGAAAATTCTAGAATCAAGAATTGTAAACAAAGAAATAGAAAAATGAAACAGTATACAGAAAGATGTGGTAGCACACGCTGGTGCGATATGGGAAAAATTTGCTGTGGACCATGTGTCCCTTGTTGAATGGGTCTAAAAGGGGTGGATAATGAAAGATATGGGAAAGCTAGGATTCAACACATCCAAATAGGGATGATGGGCTTTACACTATTGTTAGTTACCCTTGCTGCAGATAATGCCATCACTCTTCATTAAGCAGAGCTCAGTCAAAACCCTGGTTTTCCATATAACCACACAAATGCACCAAGATGACGGAAGGGATATGTTCACAAATACCCTCAAGAAGGTTGGATGGCCATCTCCAACTAGCTTTTGAGAAATCTTCATATCCAGTGGAAAATGGGAATATGAAAAATACAGTTTACTATTATAAAACTGCATCTTGTTATAAAACATTAAATTAATTAAAGAATATGTTTTTATATTATGGGTTCAACATTATTTGTAAAACTGGAGATGTGATTATTTGCATGAACAGTGTAGAAAAGGCCTCTATCTGGTAAATTAACACCACCAGCTCCCTGTGCATGTGACCATGTGTATTTCTTTTTTGTTTTAGAATAAAATCTTTGGTTTTAATATTTTTTGTAAAAATGCAAACATTTAAAAAATAAGATTCAGCCTGGCCAGGTTGGCTCAGTGATTGAGCATCAACCTATGAACCAGGAGGTCACAGTTCAATTCCTGGTCAGGACACATGCCTGGGTTGTGTGCTCAATCCCTGGTGGGGGTTGTACAGGAGGCAGCCAATCAATGATTCACTCATCATTGATGTTTCTATCTTTCCCTTTCACTTCCTCTTTAAAATCAATAAAAATGCTTAATAAATAAATCCATAAATACTATCCAAAAATTGATATTTTTAAATATATTTTATTGATTTTTTTTTCCAGAAAACGGGAGAGGGATGGAGAGTTAAAAACATTGATGAGAGAGAAATATCGATAAGAAGCCTCTTGCACCCTCCAACTGTGAATGTTCCTGTAACCAAGGTACATGCCCTTGACTGGAATCCAACCTGGGTCCCTTCAGTCCACAGGCTGACACTCTATCCACTGAGCCAAACCGGTCAGGGCTGTGGTTATGATATTTTAAAACAAATAAATATAAATTCTATATGATTGATAGAAATTAATAATTAAGAAATTATTTTTATTTTTTTATAAACAATAGTTTTTAAATTTTATACTTACAGGTAAGAATATTTCTGGGCAACATGTACAGAATATATAGCAAGTATAGAATATGCATACAAGCCCATAAACTAAACTATTTACATTATTGTGCTTTCTCCCTCCCCTTCCCTTTTTCCTTTAAAACTGTTCCAATGACCTATAAAAGCATTTAAAACTAGCATTGATTTTGGCTATTTCAGTTTGTGTTCTCCAAACAATACTTGTTTAAAATAAAATAATTTCAAAAACTCCCTTAAATATGAAATAATTATAAGAATCTGAATGTAGGACAACATCCTTTTATTCTGAAGCATACTTTGTGTAAAATATTAAGAATTTCTTATATTCTAGGTATTATGCTAAGTACTAAAATGAAGATAACACAAAGAGTCAGAGGAGAAATGGAAATTGGGGGTATGGGTAGAGGTGTGTGTGTACCATTTTGACCCTGAAGGGAAGGGGTGGCCTCTCTCTTGGTGTGACATGCATGCTGATGGCCAACTGAGGGAGAAATAAATCCTGTGACATATGGGGAAGGACGTTCCAGTCAGAAGGAATGTTAATCACGAAACACAAAAGCCATAGACACAACCAAGTTCAGCTTGTTCAAGGGTCTGAAAGAAGATTATTCTCTAGACAGAACAATAGAAGATTAGTTCGAAGAAGTATGCAGGATATGAAGTTTAGATTTAAATGTTCTGAGAGTAGCCCTTGGGGCATTTTTAATAGGGTTGTAGTATGATGTGATTCATATTTTATCAAGGCCACTATGTCTTGTAGAGAAAGAATGGTATCCAAGAGACAGGAAGGAAAGCAGAGATTTGGTAGGTTTGGTGGGAGCTGATGGAGCCTTGGTCCAGCAGTGGAGTTAGAGAGAAATAGACGGAAATCCATAAAGGAATTCCAAAGATATACAATGAACTGGAAAAACATTTACACCCAGTAAAGGGTTGCTTTTTTTACAGCTCAATTAGAAAAAGACTGATAACCTGTAAGAAGTGCAGTTTTCAAAAAATAAAAAAGGCTTCTATGCATATGTTAAGATTGTCAACTTTACTCCTTATTAAGATAAATTAAAATTACACTGAAATGCTTGTTTAACTAGAAGATTAGAGTTAATTAAAACAGACTTCAGGAGGGTATGAAGAAGTAAACACACATTTTTAGTATAAATGTAAATTTGTGATGGACAATTTGAAGAGGCCTATTGAAATTACAAATATACTTTGTCCTCAGACCCTGCAATTCTGTTTATCATATATGTTCTACAGATAAACCTTTATTCTACATCCCATCAGTACCTTGCCCATATCCTTCAGATACGCAGTCCTCCATCAATAACTCTCAGATGTTGTGTATCTACCTTAGCTCTTTCACCCTTGAGATTGTGAAGAATGTGTTTTGTTCTTTTCTTAGGTTTCTCCATTTTTTATTCCCACAAGGTTTTGCTCCAGTTACCCACTCTTGGTTGATTCCTTTTCCATAGATCATTTTCCTCTTCCTTCACTAGTTTCCCCAGCACCTCAATATAAACTACTTACAATCAATGCTGCTTTCTCTAGGCACCTAAGAGACCCCTCAGCCTCTTCTCTCAAAGTGCCTTCCACCTTTAGCTTCCCCGTGTGTATTCTATTTCCATTTGTCCCTCCCTTTTGGGACTTTTATCGCATCCCTCTTACCTCGACACTAATTCTCTATAGCTTTCAAGTCACTAGTCATTGTGACATCCTAAAACTTAGTCCATGCATTTCCACATGCCCCTATCTCTTCCCTGGAAAGCAGCTTCCCCTGTAGTCCTCACAAGTAGAGTGAATTTCTTCTCTCGGGTGTCTCATAACACTGGGCTTGGTGGGAACCTAAGTGTCTTCCTGACTGTTCTTTATGGCTTCTAGATCTTTTTTTATTTTGCCTTTTTTACACAAAAGTTCAGCTTTGAATCTCATATCTCTCACCATAATACCACTATCCCTCATTGTAGGGGTACCCCTCGAAGATTCCTTCTTATTCTATCTAAATTCCAAATGGGAAATACCTTTGTTGTTAAATTTTAAAATTACATGTTTCAAAAAAAAGTAACTAGTCTTAGTTACTATTTTTAAGTAATAACCTTTTACATTCTTTTTTAATTTTAATATAGTAGTAGACCTTTATTAAAAAAATATATTTTATTTATTTTTTACAGAGAGAAAGAGAGAGGGATAGAGAGTTATTGATAGAAACATCGATGAGAGAGAATTATAGATCAGCTGCCTCTTGCACACACCTCATTGGGGATGTGCCCGCAACCAAGGTACACGCCCTTGACCGGAATCGAACCTGGGACCTTTCAGTCCGCAGGCCAACGGCTCTATCCACTGAGCCAAACCGGTTTCGGCAACCTCTTACGTTCTTACTGTTTTATCATTTACAAAATTCTTTCATGTGCTCTATTCTCATTTGTTGCTCATTTTTTTCTTGGTTTACTCTCAAAGGCACTGGTGTGCAGGAAGAGGCTCGGTGATTCAAGCAAGGTCACACAGGCTCAAATTCTGGATGGAAAATCTAGTGACTTTGTTGCTATCCCACAGTTGTGATATTCTTGTTAGAACATTATATAAAAATGGTTTTGAATTTTTTTAAGTAAATTATTTTGCATCTGTGGGATATATGACTAGAGAAGACAGATGCC